GCACCGGAGGAGGGCAGCGGCTGGGGGACCCAGAAACGGCGGCTGCCTGAGAAGCAAGGCAGAGGTTCCAAGGTGTTTGGGGATTCTTGCTCGGGGAGGGCAGACCAGGAGGAAAAAGGACTTTGTGAAGTCCCGTGTCTCTGCCAGCGTCACGGTGGGTAGGGTTTGGTGTGGGTACCCGCTGGCCTGCTGGGGTGGCCGGCAGATCCGGCGTTGGTTCCCCAGCCTCACAAGAAGTCAAAGGCGTTGAGATGCGGAGGTCTAATAGTTGAACTCTGAGGTGTGAAGCTCCCTGTCATTGCTCAGATATCGCTCAAGCTATTTAACGGGTTTAGCCAGCAGTCTTTGCGGGGGATCCTGTGCGTCCAGAGGGTTTCAGGGTGTCCCGGTTGTAGCGTCTCTGACTCCTCTGGGCAGTGCGTGCGTCGGTTCGTTCTTCTCACCTGTGGCCAGATAATGTCGTATATTGTCATTCCCTCTGACGGATTTTCTAGCTTGATGTGGGGAAGGGAACAAAACTCATAGAAAGTGTAAACCCAGTCCCCTGCTGCTGTGTGGCCTGACCGGCGTCGTGAGAAGGACAAACCAGCAGAGCTGGAGAGAGCTTTTTTAAAAAAATTAATTTGCCTTAGATTTACCCACATAGGTTGTATTTAGAAAGAAATTGCTGTGCCTCACGGAGTGCAGAGAGCTGGAGGAGCCCGAGCCCGCTGCTGGGCACCGGCTGGGAGCGTCCGGCCGCGGTGGGCTCGCGCGTGTGAGAGCGGTGGGCAGTTTGCTGCCGAGGCCTCTGCTCCGTCCCTCGCCGTGGCTGCGGCCGCGCAGGCGGCGCTGCTGTCGCGGACCCTGGTAGCCTCTGGTGGCTTCTGCTGCGTCCTGCTAACAGGCCCTGTAGTGAAACACCAGAACACACAGGGTTTTGTGCAACACCACCATGTTCTCATCTGAAAGGCTGTTTCTGAAAGTGAAAGTTGCTCAGGGCCACCTCGAGTTTCCCGTATGTAAAATTTCTCTGCAGCCAGCCCGTCGAGTTGATGAACGCTTCAGAGCGTGCTTCGTGTGGCGCACGGTGCTGCCTCCGTCCCCCCCGCGTACGTGAAGAGCCACGAGCTCATCTAAAAACCGCCTGAAAGTGGTCGTGACGTCGGGTTTGTTTGGCGGGGCTGAGCGTGGGGACGCGCAGCTCGTCCTTGGCGCCGCTGGCGTTCGGCCAGAGGAGCGGTTCTTGGGCTGACGCGTGGTTGATCTTTGCCTTGAGGGGCGCGGGAGCTGCGTTCTTCCTGGGAACGAGTTATGAATTCAGCTGATATTTCCAACTCGAACGTGCCTGAAGTCTCCCGTAGTTCTGGATGAGGTGGTTGTGAAATGGGTGGGTAGGGGCTGCCTGTGCCCTTAAAAAAAAAAAAAAAAAAAAAAAGGTGACTGTGGAAAATTGGAGCATTTGAAAGAATTGCAGTTCCAAAAAAGCTACCAGCAGGCACGTAATTTATTTTATGGTTTTCCCTCTTCCTTCTAACAGACAAGAAAAAGTTTTAAAGTACTCCGGCCCATGTTGGTTCTCTAGAACTGAAAACGTTTCCAAATTTGCAGTTAAAGATGTATTTTATTAAATGGGCTTTTAAGAAGCTGTAAAAGCTGAGAAACCTCAGTAACTCCTGCTTTGTTTTATTTTCATTCACAGAAAGGGGGGGGGAAGCCAGAAAACTGGCTGTGTAAGAGTAATTTTAAAAATACCTCACTCCTAATGCGAACGTACGAGTAGCAAAGTGGGAGCTGGTGTGGGGCCGCGGGCCCGGGGGTGTGGGAGGACCTTCCTGCTCCGGACCCCCCCGGCCCCGCTCCCGCGGCACCGGGGAGACGTCGGCCTCGGCTCACGGCTCCGGGGAGCTGCCAGCGAGCGAGACTGACGTGCTGCTAACGTTCTCCTAAAGCTTTTACTTTTTTTTTCCAACTTATCCCCTTCAGAAAAAATAAATCTCTTTTTGAATACATGGAATGGTTTGGGTTTTTTTGAGCCCCGAGGGCTTTTTGTCCATTTCTGCCTCATCTGCGCTTAGAAAAACGCAGAAGGTCTGAACGCTTCTCGTGTTTTAACCCTCTGCAGCTTCTCCTCAGATTTTTCTGCTGCAGTTCTGAAGCTACAGGAGAATTTCTTTGAAGATGCGCTGCAGAAACTGCTTTTAGGGGGTTATTAAAAAAAAACTGCTGTGGTCATGGTTATGCTCATTTCCTCCAGGCTCAGGGTAACCTGTTTTTTTTGCTGGCAAAGGATCAGTGTTTATGCTCAATAATTCATGACGTGTCACGGCTTCTCTTTGCAGTTACTCGCTGTGAATTACGGTACAATTCTCAGACAGAAATGTTGTGAATTTAGTGTTACTATGCAATTTTCTTCTAGAGGCTCTTTTCTTTTTTTTAAAGAAAGATCCTTAGTTAAGGCTGAGAAATGCGACCTTTTTGCTGCTGACTTTGGGATGATGTCGAGAAGTGTGATTGCGGCAGTGGGTGCTGCTCTGGCGGGGGACTGAAGCGCGTGCGAGCGGTGGTGGCTGAGCAGGCGGCTCCAGGTCACGCCTTCCCAGCCATGGAGAGGACCTGGCCTGGTTTGCAGGGAGCACCGCACTCACTGTGTCTTGGGCAAGACGTCGGGAAACCATTTTTCCTGTAACCCACGCGTGTGGTGAGCGCCGGCGGTGGCATCTGACGGAGGGCTTGTGTTGCGCTGGGGCCAGGCAGGTTTAATTGCAGCTGATCCCAATTAAACATTGGTGTCATTGCTGCTGTTGAATCACGTGTGGAGTTCCACTGTTGAGCTTGACCCGTTGGCTTCCATCCCTGTGAGATCCTGACGGGTAAATCTTGAAGCAGAAGTGGTGCTGGTCACCTAGAAGGATATGAAGTGAGCTTTTGCAAAGTACGTGGTAAAGCTGGTAAATGGAAGTGGGACACGCTTCCTGGAACCGGCGTGTTTGCTGTGAAAGTACCCGAACTGTAGCTTAACTGGGGAAATAAATATTCAGTAAGTCGTGTGCTTTATATGAGATCTTGGAAGGTACCGGTTTTGAAAAGCAAGGGAGGATGAGAAGAATGTACTGAAGTAGAGAAATATCATCTAGCAGTTGAGAGTGTGTTGATGTCCTGTAAGACTAAGCATGGAATGAAGTTTGGAGATGGAGCTGTGCAAGACTGGAAATTCAGGTGGTGGTGGTCTTTAAACCGTATTTTTTCATGTGGTCGGGGAGTCACTAAGCTTAATTCCGTTGGCTGGTTTGGTTTGTTTCTTGGGTATTTGTTGGTAAAGAAGGAACACAGGAGATGCGTGAGGGAAGAGGACCCGTCACCTTCTGCTCTGGTCGCTGGCTGGAGGCGGGTGAAGGTGGCTGCAGGTGGGATGGCGTCAGGGGGTGGGCACCATGTGGTTCGCTGGGGTTTTGTTGTGGTGGGGCCTGGAGGTTGGTTTCAGGTGAGCGTGACTGGAAGAAAAGCTCTCCAAGAGGAATCTAAAAGTACTAGGAAAGAAACTAACCTCTCATCGTGGCTTTCTCTCCCGAGTTATAACCCCGTGCTGCTTTGCCTACACGTGGTTTCCAGAGCGGTTCGGTTTTCGGAAGACGGGTGTCTGTCCGTCAGCAGAGCTGCCCGGATCCGAGCGTGTTTAGCCTGAGGTGGGACTGTGCAGCACGCCAGTCTTCTGGGAAGAGAACTGATGATTCCGCCATCCTCAGCAGGCGTCCAGGCGCAGTCAGCAGTGTGAGCACGGATAGCTTTTCATCTCTCCAGTTTCTCCTGCAGCCTCTTTTACCAAGCTGAGTTTGGCTCCTAGCGCTCCGGCATCCCTCTGAAGGAGCTGCTTCGGGCTGCACTGCGCGTTCCCTGCTCCTTCGAGTGAATTCGGGTTTCCCGGCGCCGCGGTGCCGGCTGTGTCGAGGAGCGAGCTGCGGAAAGCGTGTCCCCGGGAAGAGCTGCGGGAGCTCTGACTCCGTTTTGGTGAGTCCGCAGGCTGTTCTTGGCAGGGTAAGGCGTAAATTCCGCCCTGCGCTCGGAAGGGGCTTGCTGCGAGTGCCTTTCTGTGAAAGGCAACACAATCCCGTGTTTGCTGCTGCTCGAGGCTGCAGAGGTGCAATGCCACATTCGTTTGTCAGCGCTCAAAGGCATGGCACTGTGGTCCCTCGCAGAAACTTGTGGAGCTTCGAGCAGTTGCTTTAAAGACCGATCTGTTAGTGCAGTGACAAACAGCAGATACGCTTTGTAAAGACATCGGCAGGAATATGTGCAGCATTTTTAACACGGGACACTGGGGTGAAAACAAGGACTTCACGTTTGTTAGCATGGGTAGAACAGGAGCTGTTGCAAGTGACGGCAGTGGCTCTGTGCTCGCAGCATAGCAATGCAGGCGGAGCTGGTTGGGTGCCAGATATTAGTCATGGGGCACACCTACTTTGGAAGAGTAGCCTGTGGGTTTAGAGAGGTAATTATTTTCCAGCGGCCCTGTGGGGCACAAGCAATTCAGCTTATGGAGGACAAGGAAGGGCTTGCTCCAGAGTGTTAGTTAAAAAATTGCGTGCGTATGAGCCGCAGCTGGTGACGACTTGACTAGAATTTAATTTGTCCAGGCATTGTTCGTTGCAGGCCCCGTGGAAGACACGAGCTTCTGAAGGCTGAGACAATTGCTGACCTGGTACGGCTTTTGGGGCTAATTGCAGTGGAAGTGGGGTCACGAGAGCTGCGGTGGGCAGCCTGTCCGCTGGTGCGGGGAGGAAGCTGAGCGGCTCTGAGGTCAGAGCTGCTGGATGGTCCAGCTCAGCCCTTCGTCTCGCCGAGCTGGCGGCTTGTAGTGAGTAAAGGCTCTGCGCTGGGGGCCTTGGGGCGAGCCACCAAGAACGGCTCTGGCTGACCTGCAGCGCTCGCAGGGGTCAGCGTGAAGCTTGGAGAAGTCAGCGCTTCTGACTGATTGCAAAATTCTTCCTCTGATCACTAATTAGATGGTGAACATTCTCTGCCTGATTATCCCACCCTCAGCTTTTCTTTCTGGGGAGCTAGGCTGACGCTTTCTGGAGGCTCCTCAGGAGCAGTTAACTCTTACATTCCTGAAGTAGTCTAAAAACAACCCACTCTTTTGGTGTGTGTTTGGGGTAAGTCTTGGTGGTGCATGTGTGAGAAAACCAGACTTGTGTGCCCTACATTTAACACGTTTATTGGGAGTGCATACGATACTGACTCAGTATTAGATGACATTTTTCTGTTCCTTGCTGGTTTGTGGGTGTTTTTGAGGATAACTCGGGCACAGACTGGCCATAGCTGTGACTGCCGACGGACTGAGCCAGTCTGTTGCCAGAAGGCGAGCTTCGTGTCGGGACGGAGGGAGTAGACGCTGTCCTGTCTGCTGGCGAGGATTATCTGTGTGAGAGCCCAGGCGAGGCTGCTTTGCCCATTCCAGCAGAGCCGCGAGTGGGACACGGGGCAGTGACTTGAATTTCGTTGTAATAGTCTCAGCACCTCCATGGTCTGTGCGTAAGAAAAGGCCGTTATAGTGCAAGTGGACCCTGGCTTTGCTGGAGAGGGTTCTTCACCTCGCTTTCAAAACTTTTTAAAAATCAGTGATTTTGGGGTTTTTTTTTGGAGGAAAAAAAAGTGTGGAAAATGCTGTTCTGGTGTTATCTGGAAATAGTTCTCACCTTTGGGATAATAGTGTTCAGCAGCGCTGGAGAGGCACAGCGCTCAAAATAGCAGCAGCTGCCATAGGCCGGCATGGAGCGGAGTGGAGCGAGTTGTGTTGTCAGTCATGGGAGCACAACTCCAATCCACCTGCAGACGAGCATTCCCGAAATAGCAGAGGGCTGTCAGCCAGCAGAGGAGATGTATTGTGCGCCTCGCTTTTGTGCGCTGTTGCTGCGCTCCCTTCCTACCGCAGTAAGGAAAAAAATGACAAGTTGCTGTGGTCTGGCTGTAGCTCGAGAGAGTAACCACGTCCTGCTCTCCCCAGCAGCTAACGGCCGGGAGGGGTGGCTGGGCTGAGCGCGGGGTACGCTGGTGCGTTGTAGGTGCAGCGCGTCCGCGGGCCGGGTGGAGAGCCTGCTGCTCCCTCGTTCTCAGGGACAGTTCTGCTGGACGTGAATGTCTCCGGGGTGCGACAGAGCACTTGGGGAAGGTCCGTGGAGGGGCAGGAAATCTTGTCTGAGGCCGAACAAAGCGAGCTGGTGGTGGTGTAGGAAATCCGTGAACACCCTGAGCCGAGGGACGGGCCGCAGGCTGGCGGGAGGGCTGCTGCTGCTGGGGGTGGTAAAGTTCAGCGCCTTGCTGGGGTTTGAGCCATGAGGATCCCGTTGAGTGCTCCTGAGGCGTTCCAGGTTCAAAGTTCTCCCCTGCGCAGGCGTTTTCCCGGTGGTTTGAGCAAGCAGAGTCTGGTGCAGCTGTTTCTCTTCCAAGAGCTTTCTGAACCTGCTGGCTTTCTGCATTTAACTGTTTTTCCTTGGTTGAATCGTGTCATGCTTGAAAGCGTTGTCCCTTGCATAAATAAAGCCTTGCTCCTTCGTATTTTCCACGTGCAGGCTGCAGTGGTACGCTGCAGTGATGGGTCCTGCGGGGACTGACTGCACTGAGCTGCCTGGGGGCTGGTGCTGGTGGCTCGGGGTTTGGGCCACTGGGCAGAGCAGTGCGGCTGGCCTCTGGGGAGAAGTTGTCCAAATGCTGCTTGAATTGAAGTGCACGCAAGGTAAAAGTTAAATGCAGTATTTTTTGTTAATTACTGAAAAGGGCTCTCTGTTGGCGCTGTGTTTCTGCCCCTCTTGTTGGCTGCCTGCTTGCTGTGAGTGGTGTTGCACTGTAAATTCCCATTCCTTCAAACCCCAGAAATGAGGGACCTGCCGACTTAGCCTGTACCCTTACGCTGATGACAAATAAAATGTAGCTGCTGGATGGGAAGGAGGACGGTCTTGGATGGTTGCTGTTTAATCCTGTAACAGTGTTTGAGAGGCTGTTGTCCCTGTCTCCTGCATTTCTTCTGCTGAATGTTCTGCAGCTTGCAGGTTGCATCCGACCGGGAGTGTTTCCTCTTGGGAGCACTGGGTGTTCATAAGTCGTAGAATGCTTAAAACTTTTTATTTTACATTTTCACATAGTAAACACTTCATCCTAGGGCCTGTATAGCTAGGTAGACCGAACTTCAGTGAGATTATTGAAGTAAAAAGCCATTTTCACTAGCCGTGTGTAATTTTGGCTAAGAAGAACAGAAGGTGATGGAAGTCAGCGGTGCTCTTGCTCCTTACACCTTGCTGCCGGGATAACGCCGTTGTCCGTATGAGCATCCGGATTTAAAGGGTTGTTGTGGAGCTGGTTGGTGGAGTGGAAAGCTGAGGAGCAGGTGAACCTGCTGCAGGGTCTAACACTTGTCCCTAATGCCTGCGTGCGTTTCTGTTGGAGCGCAGAAAGGAGCAGGTACAGAATTCGGGGAGCAGAGAGCTCGCTGGCAGGCTTGTCGCCAAGTGCTCTTTTCAAGGCTTTGTGAGCTGTGTAGGTGTGGTAGAAAGAGTGGGTTTGCAAGTGGGAGCTCACGCATTCTGACCTCTTTCACCCTTGCACCAGAGCTGGCAAGTCCCGCTGGGTGAATGTGAGTTTGTTTCTTTGGGTGACCAGATTCACAGGAGATTCAGCTCTAATCCATTTCTATAAATATTATTAGTTGGCTTTCCTGGCTTATGTGACACTGAAACAAATCGCATTAGGAGCGGGCTCTCTGTAGTTGGGAGGCTGTTTCAGTTTGCTGCCGGTAGTGGTTGCTGCTCGGATCTCACGGGGTTTGTTCACGGGACTCGGACTTCGTGCGCCGGTCGGAGTGAGGAGGACCGTGCTGCGGTACGTGGGTGCTGAGAGCAGCGCTGAAATGGCGTTGCCAGGAGCCAGCTCGGCCCTCGGGCTGCTGCTGTCATCGTCCGTGTGAAGTGAGCCAGATTTGGTGTGGCAGTGGTGGAGGGAGCTGCGCTCGGAGCCCCTGCCCAAGCTGGCCCATCGTGGGGGTCGCAGGTTCAGACGATCTTCGTTAATCCCCGGGCAGGGCGGCAGTTTGCTTCGGCACAGGCTCGCGGGGCCCCTGCGTGGCGTTGGCTGCGCGTCGTGGCGGCGGGCGAGGGGGGCTGTTCTGGTGGGTAGTGACGCCCCGCCTCGGGGACAGCGGGTTTCGAGAGCTGCCCAAGTCTGACAGCAGATTTTTGGGAGCATCAGCGTGATTAGTATGAGGCAGTTGAGATTTTTTTCAACACCAGATGAGCAGGGAAGCAAACTGTTGCTGCTTAAGAAGCTTTTGAGAGCTTTTGATAAAAGATACTGAAAAAGAGCAAAGTGTTACTCGGATACGCATTTCTAAACGTGTGTTTCTGTGATGCTCTCAAGCACAGCGGAGTGTCACGTCGTGCGAGTAGTTTTTCTGTAAATACAGGGCCAGGAGATTAAGAACAAATGGTAAATGGTTGTGTTAAAAACCAATGAACACACATTTAGTTCTGTGGTGCCGTCTTGTAATCCTAAGGAATTTTTCTTCATGTTTCAGAGCGTGAAGCTGCGCGTTGGAAGCACTGCCATTCTGTCCGCTGCTGCGGCTCAGCCGGGCGGGGATGGTGCTGCGCCGTGCCGCACGGGCTGTCGTCCTGGC